ATTTATTTATTTACTGGGATCGTCTCCCCAGTGCAGCTAACAAGCTGAGCAGTACCTGTGCTCCCTGGTGCTGAGGTTTGCTCCCCATTTGTGACACAGGAGTGAGAGAGGTCTTGAGTGTGGCCACGTGTGGTGATGGGCTCACCTCAGCACAGCCATCAGTGCCAGGGAGCATATGAGAGAAAGACAGAGCTCAGTTCTACAGAGCAAACAGATTTCTCCACATTATGGTCAGAATCCAGTCTGTAAATCAGAAGGGTGATTCTTTTTCCATTGACTTCCTTTGTCCCCTTCACTGACTCCCAAACTTCTTACTACACACAGAAATGGTTTGAATTCAGTGTACTTTTACAGGGCTAGTTAGACCTTACATATCACTAGGATGGATTCAGTAAGATGTGAAATACACAGACTCCCACCAGAAAGGTATTTTGTTTTGTTGGTTAGTTGTGGGCATTCTTTATTTTTAATTTTTTTAAATTTGAATAAGAGTGTCTAAAGTTTTCAGAAGAGCAAAAGTCCTCTATTGTTGTAAAATAATTCTGGTGGTCTGGCATTTATTTTGGAGTTGGGTTTTGTTTGGAGTTTTTTCTGTGTTTCTTTGGTTTTTAAACAGTACAAATGTTCATTAACTTCTGCTTTTCTTTACAGTAAAAAATTAAGGGTAAACATCAATGTGCCAATGAAGACTGAACAGAAGCAGGAGCAAGAAACCACACACAAAAATATAGAGGAAGATAGGAAACTACTGATTCAGGTGACTTATTGCAGAATGCTGTCATGAACTCAGAATTGCAAATTTGTAATCATTTAATGAAGCTTCCCAATTTTTATTAGAAGACAACATGCCATTGCAGTGCACTCTGTTAGAGTTCAAAAATGTGTTTAAAATGGTCTTAAAGGTGACTGGAGTCTGTAGTAGAAATTCTGGAAGAAGGCATTTCTACAGACAGGATGTGCTCTTCACATTTGTTCTAACCTGATGCTGATGAATGTTTGGGTTCCTTTGATGCACACATTCACCAGACTTTGTCCTGGGTGAAAACTGAGTAATAAAGAACTGGTAACACCTGGGTAGTATGAAATTACCAGTGGATCTGTGTTAGTTCATTTGGAATCCACTTGAGAGGCAGGGGAAGAAAATAAAGAGGGACCACTAAGAGTGTCACAGTTAAGGTTAAATATATAAAGGCTTTTTGCTACACAAGTAGTTTTGTGTGGCTCCTGTTACCATTGGTGCTATTATTACTATGACTGACTGACTGGAAGTGCAGTTCTAAAAATTCAGGTGTCAAAACCTCTTTTGATGACTCTGTGCTATGGAGACTCTGAGTTCTTGAAGTCTGTGTGAGTAACTGACACTCATGGGAAAGCTGCTCCCCGTCTGGTGCTTGAGCTGGTTGTGGTGGTGCTTCTGCACGGGCAGACATCATTTAGGGGAGTTCAGTGGCTTTACACAGAGGGACAGGTACTTTGTTCCTAAACACACCTTCCCAACTTTGCTGTGCAGGCTGCTATTGTGAGAATCATGAAAATGAGGAAAGTTCTAAAACACCAGCAACTGCTTGGAGAAGTGCTAACGCAGCTGTCCTCAAGGTTCAAGCCACGAGTTCCTGTAATTAAGGTATGTGAGCCCCACATCTCTGAACCTGGATTCCAGGAGGTGAGGAGGATATATAAACTGACAAAATGCATGCTTCTGAATTAAAAAGGAAAGCTTAGGAGATGGGATCAGCAAGGACAGGTTTTTTGAGTTGCAAGTAGGAAATATTTTAACCAGAAATACTGTATTTCTCTTAAGGTAACATCCATTTTTGCATTGTTGGTAAAATAGTAGCTGGATTCCATCTTTTCACATCAGTGTCAGCTTACCATAGCCCTTGATGGGCTTACCTTTTGTTCCTGCTCTTCCAGTTGTGGGATGACAGTCAGCCTTAGGGTTGGTTCAATAAAACAGCTTCCTGCTTTCCTTTACAGTAAAAATGTTGGGGAGGGGAGCATTGTATTTAATTATTTACTCATAATTATATTGGTTATTTTATTCATTTATGTATATTAATTGCTTTATCAGTTTAAGTGAGCCCACCAGCAGTTTTTACATCCCCAACCAAGGGTATGTGGGGCAAAGGACAGGCGGAGCAGTTGCATAAACTGGCACCAGTGCTGGGCAGTGACACAGGCAGCTCCTCACTGCTGCCACTGTCTTTTGTGACCTTACATAAGCTCTCTGCATCTTGGTGTAATTCTTCATTTGCTCTCTTACTATGAAGTTGCTCAGCATACCAATTATCTCCCAGTCACACCCCTGGAATAGCATCCAGTAAGTGTAGTTCAGTTTAGTAGATTAGCAAAGCCTTCTGCTTGGATGTGGTCAGAAAGAGAAGAGTGAACTGCTGTGGTTTGTGTCCTTTGCTTATTCCCATCCTCTGCTTGGAAGGAAGCTCCCCCAGGGGTGAAAATCAAAGTTTGGAGCAACCCCAGAGAGGGCTTTTATGCCCATGTCCCACCTCTTACCTCTGTTCTGTTCCTCCCACAGAAATGCATCGACATCCTCATTGAGAAGGAGTACTTGGAACGTGTAGATGGTGAGAAGGACACCTACAGTTACTTGGCTTAGCATTTTTATTAGCAATTACCTGACTGTGTGACACTCGGCAAGTAGGTATGTGATGGAAAGAATGAAAGCGACAGAACTTCATAGCAGCCACCCTGCTGCCATTTGGACCTCCCTTTTTAATGACTGAGACCAGGACTCCATCAGCCAGTCTCAGATTTACATCAGAACTGCTCAGGATTGATACATTTCAAGTATGTAAATATGGACACCAATGCCATTTAACCTAATTTAAGAACAGAAAGGAATCAGACCCTTCTCGTTTAAGGGTTGCATGCTACTGCATTTAAATCAATACATTGGCTATATGATAAATAGCTGCCATCACAGGCAGCACTTATACATGTTGGCAGCACTTGGAGAGCAAGTCTGAATGGACCCATGTGTAATCTGCTATGAAAAACCATTTGTATAGTGTGTTTCATTTTTTAATGTGTGATAAATAATAAAAAAAATTTAAAAGATTTCTGTACAAGTTGCATTTGGTTTTATTAAGTTTCATGACTTATCTTTCTAAATGTAAATAAAAGGTATAATGGTTATGAAAGCTATTAGAAATTCGTTTTGCTTTTCCTCCCTATTTTCTGGTGCTTTAAGAACATTTTGTTCTCTGAAGATATTGTCATCTATCATTATCTGTGCATGTTATTTCTTTTTGAAGAGGAAATGTCTCTTTCAAAATAAAAGAAATTTGTCATGATTTCACAAGATATGCAGCATAGAAAATACTCAGAATATATGTGGCAATGCTTGGTCATCTGAAATTGGATCTGGTCTTAATATTGCTCATTTTGCTATAAAGCGCATCACACTTGCATAAATACTACACTTGATTGACCAGGCCTCATTCCACTTTTCTCACGACATTTTATGAAATGAGTATTGGCTTTCCACATGCTACAAGCAAAATGCTGCTATCCTCACAGGTCTCATTTTTGGTATCTATATTTTCTAATATTGATCATGAAAAGGACTTAACTTTTGTAGCTATTTTACCCTTTATGGAAATTGTGAATTGTTCAGTGTTCCTTCTAGCAGGAAAGGAGCCAGGTTTAGTGTTGCTGATGTTTCTCTCTCGAGGGAAGCTAATGGTTACAGATGAACTCTGGGTTTAAAACAAATCTTATGGAGCAGTACTATCTGTGATCCAAACTTAATTGGAAAAAGGGTGGGGTGTCATCTGCACTTGAGATTTTGTATGCTTGCTATTTCTGTTATGAAGGAGCTCAAGACTGCCATTAGGGGCAATAGAAGCATCTTGCTGCTCAGTTCTAAAATTGCTTTTGAAAATTCAGAAGAGTGGAGCTGGTGATGCCTCTTAAATACTTTATTTTTTTCTAAGATGCAGTTTTGTATTTGTAAACCCTTCTTGCAGAAAGTACAGGTCTAATAGATTTTTTTAGCAGGATGTGTGTGCTATGATGACAAAGAAGCAGCCTGAATTCCTTTCTTAGTTGGAAGGCCAGAAATCACCTGCTCTCAGCTGACTTTCCAAGCCCTGTGCTGGTTAAAGCAGTGCTTTGTGTACTGTGCATCCAGGTTCAGACCAGGAGCTGCGCTCTACCCGAAGAGGGAGAAAATCAGGTTTTTACTTTTGGACTGTTCGTTTACTTATGAACTCTTTGTTCTTACTTGGGCCACCACCATGGTGGAGGGCATGTGGCAGCTGCTCCTGTACATGGAGTGTGGAAGCAAGAGCTGAACTCAGCCCCAGGCTTGAAGCACCCTCAGTGCAGCAGGTAAATTGGTCACCATGGCCAGGATGTCATGAACTCAGTTTGGCAATAATGCCACCCTCTGCCTGCCCTCTGACTCCAGCTGATTTGACCAGAGCATTGTGATCTTTGCAAGAGGCTGCAGAGTTCACAGTCGAAATAAATGTGGTAGCCCTGTACAGAGATCTGGCTGCAATCTAAATTATCTTGGATGAAAAACTATACATTTCTCTTCTGAATCTCTTAATTTTTTTTTTAATATATATGTAATTACTGTTACTCATCATTCAGTATTGCTTCAGAGAAGCCACAGTGAGGGCACCTTGTACCACACTTGTCTTGAAAATAGAGTTTGTTTATGAAATCACAGCTATTCTGGTAATTGTAGGAGTTTCTGGGCTGCAGCCATTATCCCAGAGACCGGGGATGTATTTGCATGCCAAGGGAGCAGAGAAGCTGCAAGACCACACCTGTGTCACTTGGGCACTGCAGCACCACAAGCACCTGACTGGCAGCTTAACACTGCTTGCATCTTCACACTGATCTGAAATGTGACCCAAAGTAACCATAGCAGAAGGAGACATGTGTGGAGCTGCCTTTGCACAGAACTTACAGGTTAAATTCAGATTGCTTTCTCAAGGGGCTGACACAAAATTCCAATTCAGTTCCAGTAAAAATGAAGAAGTTCAAGTATCCTTTATTCAAGGTTGAAAAATGTACCACACCACATTATTGCAAAAGTTCATAGGTACAAAACACTTTGCAGCTGGTGAGAAGGCAATAAAAAGTTGGTTTTTTTTAAAATTTGTTACTATAAATTACTGTTACAGTACTTTGCAAATACAGAATTTCAAATTGCATCATTTTTATTTTTCTAAAATTGCCCACAGTACTAGAAATTCCTGAAGATAAGGCAGCTGTTTGTTTAAAAGAAGAGGTAGCTGGTGTCAAGGGATTTCCATTTCTCTTTCAATGCCCACATACTTAAGGGCATCAGCTTGGCTATATCTGAAATTTAAAAAAAAATTAAAAAATAAGTAAATCAAAAACAGTATCATGGAACATTTCAGCTTCATTGTTCTGACAGAATGGCACCACAACCTGGAATTCTCTCAGATTTCCCATTGTTTCCTCACCAGCTGTGGTGTTTCCTCCTTGTGTGATTTTGCAGGTGCATAACCCTGCTGATGCACTCAAGAAACTACTTTCAGTAGTGTTTGATCAAAAGGAGACAAATCACTAAAATTCCTTACTTTTTCACCTTGAATCTCACAGTCCTGAAGTTCATTTTCAGTACTGGAAAGCAACTGCATTTCTCAAGGTTAACCTACACAGGAGTGCCACTGGACAGTTTACTTTTTATCAAGTGAGGCAGTTGTAGAGCAAAGTAAGAACACATCTTAGCAAGCACTTTTTTGTAGTAATTCTGAAATTTCATTCTCTGAAATTCTTGCCTATTTCTGAATGATGGGGGAGTTAACTTGTACTGGTACCTAGGGAACCCAACCAGAGAAAGTCTGTTGCCATTTGTCACTACACTTTGCTCTGTACAAGCTGCTGTTCCAAGTTTGCAGGCTGTTAACCAGCTGCTTTCTCAAATCAGTCTTCCTGTGGCATCTGGGTTAACAAAACCAGTGTGGGGAACGCTGCCTCTGCTGCTCAGGTTGCAGGGACCAGGCTGGCACAGGAATTAACTCTGGGCTGTGCAGATACTGGAAGCTAATCCCATCTGAAATCTGTCCACCCACCTGTAGTCAAAGAACAGTTCTTCACCAGTCTGAATGGCTCTTTTAGCAAATATTCCTATTCTGTGATCGCCATTAACCATCATAACTGTTTTAAAAGAAATTATTAAGTATGTTAGTATTTATACTGATAAAATGCAGGCTAAAGAAATATCTCACAGTATTTCATACATTGATGAAAAGCAAGTAAATGTGAAACTTACCTTTTGCATAGCAGTTGGGATTTACTGAATGGTTTGCAAATCTAATTTTGTTGCCCTTGCGTGTTGCATCAACCACAAAATCTACGGGGGGCAGAAAGAACAACAAAACCCACAAATGATGGATGGGTCACCTACAAGCACATTTTTGAGTTTAATACCTAGTGTGCTTGGATCTTAGCAGCTGGAGAAGATAACAGCACAGCTTCCCCCATGGAAGAGCTGGCCCACCACCCTACAACTCTGCTGTCTCACACTGTGCTTTTCCTTAACCTCTTGCCACAGTGGCACCACCTTAGCTTCTCATTGAAGCTTCTCTACCTTTATTCCACAAGGACAAGCTCCATAAATATGCTAAGTCAACACTGACATAAAGCAGCAGGGTTTTTTTTCCCTCGTTTCAATTATTTGCTAGTATTTCATGCTTGACAGGGGGAAGTTTGTGTTCTTCTAGTGGCAGCAGCCACATAGCACATATCTGTGTGGCTTTTTTCTCCCCAACACAATTACCATCATAGCATACTGCTGATTTAATTCACTAAAATTACTTCAGACAACACCTGGCAGGCCTTCTACATTCTTTCGTCTACTTAATGTCTGCACATACTTTTACTCCATGAAGTTCTACTCCTCTTGTATAGTTGCTTTTGCAATAGGCTCCATCACTACATCTAGCTGACTAGTGTTTAGAGAAAAAAAAACAACCCAAAGACTAGCTATCAACAGGATGAACCACACACTGATAGGGAAAAACGTGTGGAAAAAAATTCTCATTGCTGGCTGCTGTCTGCAGAAGAACAGGGCTGAACAAAATGTTGATTATATGTACTTTACTGATGCTGCCAAGGTTGCAACTAATGCATACATACCATTATTCAAGTTAAACAGAAAGCTGCACATGTATTTGTCGTACACTTTTCCTCTTCTGTCTGCCTCATCCTGAGAAATAATCTGAAAGAAAGACTACTTGTAAAAAAGAGAAGCACTCCTCCATTGTGTGTAACCATAGCAGCTTAATGTCAAACCTCCCCCCACAACCTTCTGAAAGACAGGTGGGAGATTTTTATTCTCTGAGATTCAAAGTATTCCCAAACAAAGTGTTCTTTTCAGCAAGCATTCTACACTTACCAAACATCCATGCTTTGCTCTTCGCATAAAAACTCTTTCAGAGCAGCAGAAAAGCAAGAATTGCTTCTCCTCCCAAAATCAGGACTGCATACCTGACTCAGTGTTTTATTGCTACAGAATATAGCTTAGTGAAAGCTCCTACTGACTGACTTTCAGTACTACACTAAATGATTTGCCACCAAATTCCAAGCATGTCTGAACTGAAATTCCATCTAAGATAAAAGGGACATTCCAGCCTCTCCTTCTGACAAGAACCTGTTTCAAAATTTCTGTGACATTTCAGTTGTGTAGCTCCTGGGGTTTGAGCCTGTGACACGTAGTCAGGCACATGGCTCTGTCTGAACGTGATACCAGGTTACAGACAATGGTATCCCATGGTCGGTCCCTGTCAATGCATAACTTCACCAATTAGACTCATATCCAGTGCTCTCCATCCTTACCTCACCACAGTACTCAGAGATGAATTCATTCTTCTGTACAGGATCTTTGATAAAAATTCCCCAGCCTGCCACATCTGAAGGTGCCAATAGTAAATGCTGTGGAACAGAAAAACCAAAAAGTTTAGATATGCTTGGCTTACATTTGAGTTCAGGGGTTTTTTTTCCATTTTGTTTTGTATCACTTAGTGAAATGTATATACTGGGACTCCAGGAGAGTAGACAAATCCAGAGTCTTCTAATGAACAAATACACACTGAAATTACAGTGTGTGGATCAGAAGATGCATGTAAAAGAAAAATGACCAAGTATTTGAAAACTAAACTAAAAATCTTAGTTTAACCACCCCAAGACACCTTGAAATGAGGGGGTTACATAAAAATTCATTTACTAAAGACTTCAACCTCAAAAGGTCTGCAGACAAAAGCCCACTACTTGATTAACTCAGTAATCAGCTACTTTGTGATAAGACATTCCAGAGTAGAAATAAGCTTTGGCTTATTTATTTATTTGCTGGAACTGAAAGGACTTTCAGAACTTAGTAGACTGTATACAAGTTTATGCCTTAGAATCAACAACTGAATAAAGAAACAGCTTCTAGACTCTGGGATAAACTTCTTTATGCTGACCTGGGGAAAAACTGCTGAGGTATCACTTTAAAACAGCAGCCTATTTGCAATTAAGCAGCAAAGCCTGAATAGGGAAAAGGAGATATTCTGCTGCAGTGCTGCACAGAAAACACTAATTGGTACATGACAAAATGTAGATAGAGCTTAATAGCACCACATGAGCAAGCTAACAAGTCACAACTCCCTTCCTTGCTGTTTGGTTTGGGGTCTTTTTTGTTTTCTTTTCCTGTTTGACAATATGAAGGCAAAGAAATTCCATTCTCTGGTTTTAATATACAAGAACATCTCAAAACCCAGGCAATAGAAATGTAGTTGTATAACTCTGGACGTACTTTTTTGGATCCTCTCTGAATGCTGCAGTTCTTGCAAGAAACATTTTTGCTGTCCCAGTGGTCAGCTGCTCCACAAGTGAGGCAGAGGTCAGGATCACACTCACGGACAGCCAGGTAACAGGGGCACTGCTTGGTGTTGCATTGTGCTTTACAACGACACCCAGGAAAACGATTTTGGCCTACAGAGGAATGCGGAAAAGAAAAAGAGCAAGTATGAAAAAAATACAGCGTGAAAATTAAGACTGTAGATTACAGCATTTCAGAATATTGGTAACACAGCCATTGATATCTGCACAGGACATTCAGAAGTACTGCAAATTGTCTCTTTCCCTGATTTTAATCACTCTTCCTCCAGTTTTAAGTCTAAAGACTGCTTCTGACCTCATGCAACAGCAAATTACAACGACCAAATTAAACTGAACGTGCTCACACTGTTGGACACAATTTGCTTCTCCTGTAACTGTCTGCAGTATGGGCAGACTTGGTAGTACACAGCTCAATGGTGGGACAGTGAGACAAGTTTAGAGATAACTTTTAAATGTTTTACTTACATTCTGAGCTGCACTGACAAAACTTCTCGCAGAAGTTTTGAGCAATTACACATGGGCATGAGCTATCACAAGGCTGACGTGGGTGATCACATGGCTGATAGTTGTAAACGTGATTCGATGACCCATCTGAATAAAAATAGCAACATTTTGTAAAGTTGAAAGTTGCAAAGAAACAATATACAGTTCCCCTTGCAGTAAGGCAGAAATTCCCTTTTAGTCATTTAACTAAGAAAGCCCAAACATGAACAAAAAACCCAAACCCCCAACAAGTGGGGTATAAAACCCAAAAGACACAAAACCAGAACTGTAACATTATTGAGGTGTTTTACACCATTACCTGCCTTCCTAGTGCACCTCGTTCTGCCACTGCTCAGCTGCTTTGAGTATTCAGAGCTGTAAACTGTTTATGTGGAAAACTGAGAAACGAAACTACAATGGTATAATTTCCTCTCTGAACATGTTTTGGAATAGCACTGACATTCAGCAAAGTAAATTTGCTTAAATACCCAAAGCAATTTTTAATATGGAACAACAGTCAACTTTCAAACAGGTAACACTAGCAATGTAATTCTATTATTAATTATTATTATAATTATTATTCTACCACTGTGCTTTCCCAAGTCAATTTTCCAGTACAGACAATGCCGAAGTCTTCTAGGCAAGAAAGGAACTACCAGGGCCAAGCCTTTACTTACAGAGCAGATAGGATAATTTGGTGCTATACAAATTATATTTCCTATTAATACTCCTGAGCTTGTTTTGGGTTTGCATGAATTTGTAAATTTGTAAAAATGCTCAAGTTGGCAATCAGCAACAAAAAAGGAGAGACAAATTGATCAATTATTTATGCTGCTAGAAGTCCCAATCATTCTCAACAACTTTTCAGAGAACTATTTCTAAATTAAGCTGGCTTACAGAAAAAAAAAAAAAAAGGCACTTTTTAATGCAGCTCATATTCTTAATACCTTTTTTTACCTGTGCTTTAATGAGGCCATACTAGAAAGACTATAAACTCAGCCTCCTTTCCTTTTTATGGAATTACGCAGAGCTCTTCCAGCTATGTAAACCAAAGAGTACCTTTTTTCTCTATGTGTAGCAAGAGTTTATGTTTTTAATTTTCATTCCCCTACAATTTCTAGCTCCCCACGGAACATATATAATGGCCTAATATTAAAAAAAACAAACAACCAGGCCCCCCCCCCGCCCCAAACAACCAAAACCAAAAAAAGCAATAGTAGAATCTTAAAAGTTCAGGACATAAATTGAATGGAAAGATGCTAACCCTTTTTCAGCTGTATCTTTCTGCAATGAGCAGCCCACAACCTGCAAAAACACAAAACAAACAAGAAGGTTGACAGGAACTCCTCCTGCAGTGGGCTGGGAAAGGCAGCTGCATCTTGCACCCACACTTGACTTAAGATGGGAAAGTTTCTGGAGACATGAACACCTGCTAACTGCACACAAGTCAGAGGGGCTGCAGCAGAACCACCCTGTCCCAGTCTCTCGGGCTTGACAAGATCAGAGCTCTGCAGGCTGCTCCCCCCACTCCCACACCACTCCTCTAGTCCCAGGATTGTAGAGATGAGCAGTCCCCCCCAGCCCAGCCTAGAGGTGCTTAAATCCAGATGGCCTTGAAGGAAACCCTGCCAAGAGCTGGCTGCTGGAGCTGCATGGGGCAGGCAGGAGCAGCAGCGAAGGAAGGATACGAAGTTGCAGATCTGGAGGGTCATGCCCGAACAGAACAGGGGATCAACACGGGACAGCTGTTTGCTTCACAGGACTTGGCCCCAGCACCACTCTGGTTGTCACCTACAGATCACAGCCAGGTCCTACCCTTCCCCTGAGGAGCTCCAGGTACTTGACAGGAGACAGTGTCTGCCTGGCACAGCCACACTGATGGGACCTCAGTATTCCTTCTGGCTGGATGCTTTTCCCCAGTTGTCCTGTGGAGCTGCACTGAGCCTTTCCCCTCTGCTTCAAAGCCTACAATCCTTTCCCTTCTGTCCTTCAGTGTCCCCTTTCTCAGGTGGCCCAGCCAAGCACACCCTTTGCCAGAAGTGGTGTTTGTGTTGTGTGGTGGATTTTATTGTTTGCGATGGTTGCTTTGCTGTGGTTTTTTAAAGAGTAACACAACGTAACTCACTATACTTGAAGGTTCTTGCAAGTTACATTTATCCTTTAATTTGTATCCATTTCAGATTACAAACTCTTTGGCCAGGGAATGTCAGCAACTCCATAAATGGTGTGTCAGATACAATCAAGCAAAAACACCTGACTGGACCTTCAGTACTAAAAGGAAAACCAGACTTTTAATTTCAGTAGCCTTAAAATTAAAGGAGAAATCAGTTGTTTAATTTTTTTCTTCTTCAATTCTATGCATTTTAGTTACCACCTGTATTTCAGTGAACACACATAACAAAAAAAAAATTCAATCAAGGATTTTCAAAGTTTATACTTCTTGGACTTCCTCAGTGTATCATATATTGTCTAATATGGGAGAAGCCTCATTCCTTGGCCAAATAATACATTGCCAGCTGCACAAAGCGACTTCACTTTCTCTGCAGATTTACTGAGCTGCCCAAAACACTCCTGAACACAGGTAACTAAAAGATCCCCAGCACAGAACACCTACAAAAGCTATTCTGCCTTTCAGTGAATGCAACAGTACTCAGAAGTTTGCACTCTGAGAAAAATATTTCCCACTCTAACTACTTAAATAGGACTTTTTAGCTGCTACTTCTTTCATAAAAGCATAGCAGCTTTTACTTCAACCAAATGGTGTGCAGGGCTCTCCAACAGCTTCAGATAAGTAAGATTCTCTATAAAATTGCCCTTCTAAAGCATTACTATGAGATTTAACTCAACAACCAACTTTCTTACAAGCACTGAAGGAGCCCATACGAGTTAGAAACCCACAAAGGCCGATTTGTTCAAGTAACTAAGGCTGAGGGGAAGGAAGAAGCCCAGCATCACAGAGTACTGTAATAAATAGATGATATTCCTTTTAAGAGTGATTTACTCTAGAGGAAAAGGCTACCAACATATATTTATGAATTATGAGACATTGACTCTGCAAGAAGACACTTCCCATATACCTGAAAGGAGCACAATTTTGACTTAAATTACTCTAATGCACAAACTACTTTCTTTCTTGTCTACCTGGTATTTGGAAAATGTAACATACCACATTTTTTAACAAGTCTCTCACAGAAATTTTTATGTCACCCCAAGATAGTAAGAACCTACTAGCACAGCAAACCCTTAAAAGCATCCTGTGGCCAGGCTTATAATACTCTTTCATTATCATTAGCAGCTTTATTTCTTTTCTAAGGTAAGCACTATCCTAATACTTTAAATGTACACAAATGTGCATACACATCAACAAAGCATTAATAGTAACAAGTCAAAGCAGAAAGCAAACTACAGGTGGCAGTCACAATGGGAAATGCATCCATCTGCTCTGCCCCTCTTCTGGAGAGACTGGAGTCACAGGAGGGAGAGGGGGCTGGAGACACACAGTGGCAGCAGGAACTGTGGGGAATGACACAAGGCAACAGGAAGCAGGTTGCCAACACTGACCAACTCAACAGCAGTTTTGACTGGCACAATCCAATAGTATGTTCATTCATTGCCTTGTAACTTCCAAAAACTGCTGCAAAGCACTGCAAGTTCCCCTGGTTAGTGCACAAAGCTGGAGCCCGAGCAAGCACCATACTAAAGGCAGAGTCATTTTTTTATCTATATAAATTTGCCATCTCAAACAGAAGGCAAGACCTGGTCCCATGCAGCAGGAAGCAAAAGCAAGGAAAAGACAAAGTTGGGAAAGCACTCACAACTTGAAGCTTCATTGCTTCATTTAAAAAAAAGCCAACTGGAAACTCCGTGGCAGGTTTCCAAGCAAGCCAGTGGATTTGTACATCTGGTTGCTGACATCTGCACGAGAGCCAGCTTAGAAAACAAGTGTTTCCAGGAGCATCACAACAGAAGCTGTCAAAGATACTGTTCTTCTCTCCTAACAACCTACTAGACTGCCAGTGGTTTTAGGCAGCAGCAGTGTCAGCCAACCCAGCACTAAAAACACTCTTTGGAAGAAGCTGCTCCAGCACTTCTTGCTTTGCACAGGGATATTCTGCTATCAGAAAGAGCACTAAAAATTCAAAATACATGCCAATTATGTTAAATATGTAGTTGAGTCTTTGCAGTGTTTGATTTTGTGGCAACACTCCAAGACTTCAGTCCCCCAGATCATCTTATCCACAGCCTTCCCACCACTCCAAGACTCAACCTTCCAACCAGGTAGAACATAAGAGTATCTGTGCCAACACCTCAGCTGCACCTTTTGCCTGATAACAGTTAGACTTTAAATCCCAACAAAAAGGCATCCTGAACTCTTGGCAGAACTACATAAGCTTTTCAGACACATGCAGTGAACAGCAGTCCAGCAGAAGGTAGGTACAGAAGGAAGAAAATGAGAAAGCAGGGGGGAAAAAAATAAAATATTTCAAATAAAATTACTAAGTGGCCTCTGAATAGGGGATGAGGAAGAAGAGGAAAACCAAAATAATAAAGAAGCAGCTTTACATGGCTTTAAAATCAGTACCAAAATAGAGGAAGGAGTGCTGATCAGTTATAGCAAATTCAACTCAGCTCCCAGAAATGGAAGAAAAACACACACATAAAAGAATAAACAGTACTGAAGTACACTCCCCCTCCAGCACACACCCATGCTTTTCAGAATTCTTTCTTTGTTCAGGTTTTTTACTGGCTTCTATGCAAATACTTCTCATCAAAGCAGAGTTTTCTCAACATAACAGGTTAATCTGATACATAGGCCAGGTTCTGACACTGGTTCTCCAAAAAGCAACTGTAAGTCTTCTTCTCCCACTGATCAGTCTTATTATGGCTATCTTGACAAAAATGACACAGGAAGGAGGGAGACAAGACATTTCTTTATCCAAGAGGGGTGCAATCTTGCCAGCTAGTTGTTCAATATGCCCATATGGGCAGCAGGATGACATAGGGAACAGGCAAAGTCTTGCAAGAAAATATTTTATCTGCTCTCAAATCTGTTACAAGAGGCCAGCAAAAGCAGCCTTTTGCTGCTGCTTTTCCCTCTGGTGACGCTGCTTTAGCTCAAAGCCACACGCACATGGAAAACCTGCGGACAGCTATGAGCCCTGCAATGGAAAAGGACAAAAGGAAAGGAAGGGCTTTCCTGGCTCTAGGACTGGATTTAGTCTAAGAGTAAACTCAACAAAAAGAAAGGTAAGAAACAGGAAAATATTTCCAGATGGTTGTCCCAATTGCTGGCTGTGGGAGATCTTCAGACTGCTCAGGTTACAGCAGGACGTAGGCGGGCGAAACTGCTTTCCTTTTTGAAAAGGCTAATGCCATAGAAGAATGGAGACAGCTTGCCTGTCACATATTCTGGGACATGAAATCTGTAAAATTATCTCCTTCCTTCAATGAGAGTTTAAAGAATTACAAGGCATTTCAAAACTAAACTGCCACCATTAAAGTTTTTCTATTGGCAACTAATAAAAAAGAAAATCAAGTCAAGAAACCCCATGCAATGGAGCGTGCTTTCATTTACTTGGGAAGAATACCTTCTAAACTAAAAAAGTCTGAGAACTACTCCAAAACAATGTCAGCCTGGTAATCATACAATCCATTTCAGATGCAGAAATACACCTGAGCCTTTTAGCTGCTCTTTTTAAATAGATGCAGTGGCACCATTTTTACGGCAACTTGTATGAATCTGACAGCAAGCTAATTCTCAGCTGCATATTCCAAACTTGTACCATGGCTAATAACCTAAATTTAAACAGCCAAGCCCACCAAATGCCCAAACACTTGAAAACTGTGCCAAGAGCATTAAAATCAATAGCTTTGCTGAGAACAAAATCTCTTCCAGATGCTCACTCAATCTTTTCCCAGCTCACGTTGCCTGCCTCTATCGTACAAAGCAGAAATATTCTACTCCACGTCAACAGAATCTTTGAACCAGTTCAGGAATTTCACTAGGCCTGGAAATAATAAATAGACAAGCTAAGACAGAAGCAAGAAGAACTGATGTGAGAAGAACTTCAAGGACAAACTTGAGGGAAAATAAGGAAAGTTAAAGGCAGAAATAGGAAATTACATGGAACAAAAGTGTACTTACTGCTTGCTAAAGAAATGTTTTTCCTAATTTTCAGTCAACTTTTTATCTCCTATGCTCTTATCTCTCAGAATAAAAATAATCAGTGCAGAGCTGCATTTTCCAAACCTCAGAATTATCAAAGAAAAATGCATTTCACTGTCAGACAGTAGCCACCAAGCTTGGCAATTTCAACAGAAATTGTGTCAAATGATCTTTGTGGATCCAGAAAAGCATAATTCTGTTCTTCATTGCAGCTTCATTTCAAATAAATTTGTTAACCTGGTTCTTTAGTTGGTGTTCTTGGTGCTAATGAAACTGGGGTGCTACAAAGGAATAGTCTCTCCTAAAGAAAGAGAAAGCAATCCTACTAGCTTGCTATCTGAAGCTTGCTAGAATACACTTCATCTTAAAAAAACCTGTAAGTTTTAATATTAAAATACCATATAATCATTACTCAATCCTATTGAAACTCTTCTAAATTTAATGTTTATCACTGTAAAAAAAATCTTCAATGTTGCAACAAGCTGCATAGGTGATTTCTAATCTAAGCAGAGTTTTTACTACTCACATCAATACACCTACAAGAACCTGGCTATTAAAATTCTTAAAAAGAAAGGAAAGGGAAAGAGAAGAGAAAGGTTATACCTGCCAGTGCAGTAAGACTTGTCTGAAACTAAACCACCATTTTGTTTTATTGCTGCAACTTTTGGTTTTGGAAGCAAAAGAAGAGTTGCACAACTTTTCCTCCAAACCACTTTCTGTTCTGATCCCCTGTATCTCCAATTTATTGTTATGCTAAGGGTATTTAGTAACAGATTTACCTGTGTTTCCTTTTCTTCTTTCTGGGAGGAGTATCAACATCTTCAGCAGGGACTGGTGCAATAATACTAGATTCCTTTACTCTAAACTCATACACCTAACAAGAGATACCATAACACATCCACGATAAATCTCTCACTAGTACAAAGTTGCTCAAATTCTAAGTTAGTATGATTTCCTCCAACCAACAACTTACAGATTATATCCAGTCATAGTCTCTTTTCAATACATTTAAAGTTGCTTATTTTTGTCATTTAAGAACTGATATTCTAATTTAAACCTCCTGTAAATTTAATTTAAAAACAATTTTAAAACTAACTTTTATGTATTTGTGGTATGAATTCTGGACCATAGCATTCTTGGGAAAACCAAGAAAATTAATTACTTTTCCCTTTTAGTAATCAATACTAGTATTTGTATACTTTAGCTTTAAAAGTAAATCACTATGGTTCTTAGCAAGCAGCTTCCCTTCTTACCTGTCTGCATGTTTTGGTCCCAATCAGTCTGGCAATTGCACAGAAGTTGTCATAGTAGGTGCCAATAAGAACTCTAAACATTGAAGCTTCTGCACCACTCCATTCCACGTTCTCAGGAGGCTCAATATTTGGTTTCATCTTTATTGGTGTTTGACACCTAGAATTTGCTTCTGTAATGAATAATTGACAGTAAGGCTAAGTTTCAAAATTTACACTGCCCTTCAAAATGTCAAATCATTAGCTGCAGTTAAGAAATATCCCAGGTTTTCTGCTATGTTTCCTAAGTGCCAGAAAAAACGAGCACTTTTCACATGCCTCTTACAGAAGGTAGCAGTAGCTAATCAAATTACATGACCTACACATAAATGGAGACAATATGGACATTCTCTTACAGCTTGACTGAACTGATATTATTATTCTGTCCTTTCACTCTGTTCCATATGTTCCAAACGCATATTTTCCAGGATTGCACAGCTCGACTTGTTTTGGCTTTTTGTTGGTTTTGTTGCATTGTTTTCTTTGTAGTTTTGGTTTTGTTTCACCCTCTTAAGCACTACAGCTCACTGAATGAAGCAGCACTGACACCAGCCTTACCAGAGGAACTGGAGGTTTCATCTTTCTTTTCTTCCTCCTCTTTATCATTGTTTTCCCCGCCGGTTTCAGTGCCAGCCTCCCGATCGCTGTCCGTGTCCTTCGACTCCAGAACGTTTATGGTGGGCGTGCTGGGCCTGCTGGTGTTGTTGGGGAGCCGCCCCCTCCGGCGGCCGCCGGGCCGCTTCGGCGGGGTCTTGATGCGCTCCGCGGTCAGGGCAGCCGCAAACTCCTTGGCGCCTTCCTGAACGCAAGACAGAACAACTCACAGCAAAAGAACCAAAAAGCATTTTCACTTGTGGTCAGGGCTCATGGGAGAACACCTTCTACTTGCACACTGAGTAACTACCCATTCTTCTACAAAATAATCACATGCCCCAAAATTCCAGTTAAAGGCACTCCGACCATGAGCACAAGTACTTTTGATGCTACCATGAAAAAAGACCTACACTTACATGTACTCATGTCAGTATTTCAGTTCACCTTTTACTTTGGCTGCCAAGTGAAAAATAATTCAGCAGTAAATTTCTATTTTCCCAGATGACAGAAAAACATTAGAATTTCCCACAGAAAACACCCATAAAAACACAAGAGCTCTTCTTGCATGTGGCACTTAAAAAATATGTGTTCTGCATTTTTTAAAATGCAAGCATTGGTAACTTGTTTTCTAGTAGAAAGGGGTATGACATAGTGTAGGAAGTTTTCAGATGGGGAAAATTGCATAGTTCCTCATACTAAAAAATTTAGGGGAATTATGAGAGAGACTTGAAATTATATTACTAATTAAGAGCACAAGTTCCAGACAGAATCAGCCTTTGGTAAACTAAAAAATCCTTTATAACTCTTAGTTGTGATATAATTTACAAGAGAGCAAAGCCTGCAGTTTCTTGACTATATTGGACAGAATAGCAGCACCACCATTATTAGGTGGTAGTAATCTTTCCTCCCTACAAATATCTCAGGCTACATCTCCAAGTATTCCTACTTAAGATGACCGGAGGTTATATTCTTTCTCTTGCAGCAGATGAAGGTAACATACTTGACTGCAAATGACCCACAAGCAGATGCACTATCCTAGATCCAGCATGTCCTTAAATTAAGTATCCCACTATACTGCAGCCAGCACGAACACTCAGTGAGTTTTGACATATAAAATTATCTTACCAAATGTTGGTAACAGTGAGGTCCACAAGGCTTATTATCTAATGCTGTTTCTGTATTCTTTCGTTTATAAGTATTGGGAGTTGCATGGAATGCTGTTGAATCAAAACATCACATTTTTAAGTTTTCATATAAAAATACATAAAATAACCTCATACTGTATCCAAAGCACAAGGTTACCAAGACTTTACTAAAACCAGAATAAAAATACTAACAAATGGGGGGAAAAAATGAAATAAAATAAACCCCATGTAGTGACATGACTTACCACTTAAATACACAGAGACAGTACATAGGTAAGTTTCACATATCATGGAATGGTTTGAGTTGGATTCAAAATAATCTGGATCAAATCCCTCTCTGCCATGGGCACCTTCCACTAGACCAGGCTGATTAAACCCCATCTAGCCTGGCCTTGAACACTGCCAGGAATGAAGCAGCCACAGCTTCTCTGGGCAACCAGTTCCAGTGTCTCACTTCCCTCATAGTGAAGAATGTCTTCCTAAAACCAAATGTAAACCTATCCTCTTCCAGTTGAAAGCCATTATGCCCATTTACATCAGCAAAGACAATCATCACCTTTGTTTCATGTATCAAGGAAGATTTGGTGTATCACCCTTTCCAAAAAAAGGAAAAGACTGTACTTTGTTGTCATGTTAAACAGAATTATTCAGGGCTTCTCCTATTAATGATCACCTCTTTTACGTGTAAGATTCAGATGGCAAAATTCTATCTTGTCAAAAAATCTGACCCCATACACGCTTTGGAAAGGTAATAGGACCCACTTTACATTTTTATCAGTGAGAAGGACACATAAGCATTTTTGCTCTATTAGTTTATCAGCACTCCAGCTAAGATGACAGGATATAAGAATTCTTGTACCCAGCTGCAGGGTAAAAATAAGTTAGCATTGCACAGTCACTCTGGATAAGTGAGCCAAGTCTGCACCTTGCAGAGAAGTGTCTGTCCTGTACCTGAGGACTGTGTATAGCTCTGTAAAACCTGCAGAACAGTGACTCAGAAAGGAGCAGAACTGGGTATGTTACACATGCAACACGAGCACCTCGATAACAGGAGGGCACAGATTCCTACCCATTCTCTTTGCCAGAGCCAGCTCTCCTCCCTGGCAATCCCTGTCTCCCAGCAGGGTGCTTTCAGAGAAACTGACTTTTCACAGTTTTGCTGGAAGTCTTGGGAACTCCTCTGTACCCCTTACAGAGCTCTTCTGAAGCCTGGAAAACCTGCCACTAGACTCTCACCAAAACTCATACATTCATGCTCCCACATTTTATTAGGAGCTTTTTGAGATACTATCATTAGTTTTCTGCAATTGTCCTTTGAAAAACAACTCATCTGTGCTCAAGGAAAAGTTACGTTGTTTTTTATAGAGAGATAGATAGATATCAATAAATACTTTTTCCCTCTAAATGTGTTAACAGTGGCATACAGAACTGCAAGGAGCAAAAATAAAGAATGGACTGCAATTTAAAAAAGAAGAGACTGCTCAGTCTAGCTGTCTGTTTGCTAATGCTCCATGAAGATGCTTGACTTAAAATGTTCAATTTCCAAGCTATGCAGAGGCACTTATGCTGCAGTTTTATCACAGCTGCAGTTGGGCAACTGTAACTTACAGTGAAGGTTATAAAAATTCAGTGAATATAAAGTGCTAATATGTTCAAAATAAAGAAGAAATCCCTCCCCTCTTACCAATATTAATCTAAAAGGGCTGTTCCACACCAGCACCTCACACATCTCCTGCATAAGCCATTTCTTATTCATCTTATTTCCAGATCATGCTCGAGGCTTCTCTCTCCATGTCCACTATGCTTTAAAGACTCAACTTTTTACATGCAGTTCCTTCCCTGTTAAAACATGTGGGCAGAGCCCACGTCTTCCCAAGCAAGGCTTTTAAAAGCAAATTTCATTTCAGTGGTCCAGTTTGCAGCATAGCTCTGCAAACACTTGATCTGGCACCAGTGGGAAGGGTGACCAGTTCCATCTTGGAACCATCGCTTCAAGTTTGCCTCCCATAAAGGAATGTGATTTGAAAAAAATCAAATAATAAATTCTATAATAGTGTGCCTGAATTAATGACAGCACCACATGGGAACCCCTCAGGAAAGCAATGTACTCTTCCAAGGCTTTCTCAAAACAGTATAAATAATACAAAAGTATCACTAAGGAAACATTACATCCCTTTCGCCAGACAAATATGTTACATTTTATAAATCTGGAAACACAAAAAAGCTTTAATTTGCGATATATGGGCATATAGATATGCAAAAATTATTTACAAGCAAGTATAGGAATTTAATTTATGTATATTGTTGCTGTAAGTGCTCTTTCTTCCCCCAGATTTCAGTTAAAAGCTCTCATTGCTATGCCACTTCTCGTTTCACATATGCTTCAAGTTTTCATATATTCTGTAGGTAAAATATGTTACACTTTGTTACAATAACAAAGAAACCATGCAATTTAATGCCAGGTTATTCCACCTTTTTCCATTGTTTAAGAAACAATGAGATGATGGGAGTCCTTTATCCAAAAGGTGGGGGGGGGTGGGAAAAAAACTCCCATGTTTTTCAACACTGCATCTTTACATTTGCACAGCATACCATTTTATTCAGGATTTTTTTCCACCAAACTGTTTTACTTTCTCTTCATACCATAAGGAAAATGATTTTTCAGCAATGCAAAAGAACAGTAAAACATTTGCAAACCATGATCTGTACCAGACTGCTGCAATGTACGAAAATTAAAGTTATTCCTTTTACATGTCACTTGCAGATGCAATCATTTTTCTCACAAATTCATTTCTGAAACGTCCTAAAATGAGTATTTTTTTGGAAAACTGTTTTCCTTTAGAAAATGAAGAAACACTTAACTTATAATAAATGAAACACTACATCCTTTGTTATTTTTAAACCCATGAGACCTCAAAAATAGGTTTCATCTGATACGTAAAATTAGAATCATATCTTGTGTTCAACTATTTGTACCAACATGGTGCAGTAAAGACAACTACAGTCAAAATCTACCACCTCTATTGTGAGACATCTTTTGGAGAGGCTTGTTATAAAAGACCCAGGACAAGAACAAAGCTATTTATATAGCTGTATTATGAATTTTTAAAATATCAGTAGTAATTAAAATAAAAAAAAATAAAAAAATCACAGAAAGCTTTGTAGAATTTCCTCAGCACCTGGAGTCTGTATTTCTTTAATGATTTCCTTAAGAGAAATCATTCTAAAATGGCGTCACTGAACATGTTTTCTGTCTTAGAGATTTATTATCTGTCTCATCCCCAATGGGCTCAACTCTCATTTTCAATAATGTGAAAGTACACAGGCAACAGTTTAGCCTGAAATGTACATTTGCTTCACAGTCAAGCTATTTGGGAAATTCTCCCTACCTGATATTTTTCCTTCTTCTAAATTCTTTGTTAGTCCAGACATTTACGCATAATTCCTTGCTGTCAGCAAATGAAGTCGGTACACAAGTTTTTTCAGTTATGTCATCACCTGCACATAAAGGGATTGCCAGGTCGTCAAGGGGACTTGACACGTTAAAAATCTAATGATAACTTTTCCTATATTTAAGTCAAATGTTCTAGAACAAAGATTGGAAACTCCACAAAATAAGGCTAATCTTAACAAAAATGGAATCTAACAGGGGGAATACAAGAAGCAAAACCAGGCCTAATAGAGTTCCTGCATTTTTTTAATTCTCTATGCTTTCTCGAGAGATTTACGCCTTTCAAAGTACAAATCTGATCACTGTAGCCCACCACATTACCAAAGTAATTCATCAAAAATGTCATCTGCAGAAGTCAGGACATCATCCCACAGCACTTGGAAAGTGCATGAAACAGACCATAGAGGAAACTGTAGAAATGTAATAAAAGTTAAATAGTTAAATTGTTGCAGAGACACTGAAGATTGCTACTGCAGCCTTCCAATAACCAAAGCAGTTTGGTTTTGGTTTTTTCTTTTTTTGATGAGTTACTTATTCCCAGCAATGAGCCTGGCAAATTTTGACCAACAGTCTTAAGATTTCACAGAAAACAAAGAGGCCAAACAACTGATTCTCTAGGTTTTTAACAAAAAAATTCTGTGTTCTAGACAGACACGCAGACAGACAGACAGACAGAAAATAATCCTCTTTCCTTGGTGTAACTACAGACAAAAGCAAAAGGAAGCAATGCATCCAAAGCAGCGAGCAGTCATCATTGCGGTGGAATTTGGGTATGTTTTCAGGGAATGGCAACTGAAGCATCAGTTTACTACATTCAGGGTCCAGTGTTGAGCCCATGCAGCAAATGTCAAGAGAACTCTTTGCTGTGATTACATATCAAATACATTATTATCAGTGACAATGAATGTGCTGCACAGGCTGTCACTAAGAGCACTGTCATAACCGGTAATTTCACCCTCTGTCTGACACAAAGGTACATCTTGAATGCCTCCCCAGTGAGAGTGCTATGCATCCCTCTTCCTGTCATCACCCTAAAATCCTGAAAGGATGATTTAAAGTTTGGGCACTTCTGAGTATGAGGCACAGTTTAAATAAATCCTTGGACATACACCACTTTGGCAAGAACACCAACTTGTTTAAGCGACATATCAAAAATCACCAGCAACAAGAACTTACGCAACCTTTTAGTATAAACACTTTGTCTTCCATCTCAAGATTATGAACCCAGAGAAAGAAGGCACAATGCTTTTGGCTGAAAGCATGCTGCTGTGAGAACTGAAGTCCTTCACGCTCAGGACATTCTCACTGGCTGAACCTGGCACCCAAGAACATGACATAAACACCAAGACTGTGAACCCATTCTTTCACAGCACTTATATAAAAAAAAAAAGTCTCTCAGAACTGGTGCCTCAAAACTGTGGTCTGGTAAAATAGCCACACTACAGATAGAATAGACTTCTATCAGTCTGCAAAAATGGCCATGAACAGCAAATCTACATAGACTAATGAAATAGAGTAGTGAAATATATCATGTTTTAGAGGAGCCACCATCTCCACTGAAAAACTCCTAAAACTTTATAAAATCATGGAGAAAAATGCCTAAAATCACTGCAGCAGAAATATCTTAAGTCTTCAGAGGTGCCACTAGAGTAAACCTGTTCTCATTATGTCCAGACAATGATTTTTGTTGACTTAGGAATCAAAATTGGCACCCAATCTTTCTGCTAGACTACTGAGAGTGTCAAGAACTCCAAATACCCCTGCCAGACAATTGGATTGCCAAGAATCAGTATACAGCTTCACTTCCCTGTCCTACAGTCTAGGACTGCACACAGCACTTCTGGAATGAGTGTCCAGGCAACCAAGACACCACAAGACCTACAGCTTTTACAGAACACACTGTGCTCAAGCTGGCTGGTCAATGCAGCAGCTTACTCCAGAAACTTACTGTTCTTTAATGTTACGCAGAAGTAGCAGCTTCCTTTTATTTTTTATTTTGTATTTTCTAGCAAGGCATGTCAAGAGAATATAAGGAGAAAGTGAAACTAACAGACCTTTCTCCAAAATGCTCAAGTACTAAAGGAACTAGGAACATGAAAAGCTTCCCCCTTCCCCATCATCTGAGAACAACTCCAATTCCTCCTCAAACTGAAAGGCAACCAAGGGATATGAAAAAGCAGCAGCACTGTGCAAAGCCTTCAGTGTGGAGTACAATTACAGGCAGGTTGCATGTGTGCTGGATGAGGAGCTGCTGACAAAGCACAAGGATTCCCAAATGAACATGCACGCGCACTCACAGTGGAACATGCAAATGAACAGCTAAGTCAAAAGCAAAAATTAATTTGATATAGAGGGCATCACAAGATACTGCTACAAGTTGAAACCACTTCATATTTGACTGTTAGTTTCCCCTTTACATTTAACTCGCTGTCCAGAATAATTGTCTCAAGTAGCACTTCAGAATCTCTTCACACTTTGCAACTGAAAGCCAACATCACTGCTAAGCTCTTGTCAGCTTGTTGGCCCAAAACAATGGGGCAACATGAAAGTAGTTCAGAGAAAGGATATCACAGTTTCAAAAACTCAACTCTCTGAAACAATTCTTCAAATAACCAAGTACAACTAATGTGACTAGAAAATAACATGGCAGAATAAAAGAGAAAACTGTTCATGAGTATTCATTCTCCCTATTGGAAAATGAAGCAAGTCTGATGAATAACCAGGATTTTTAATAGAAAAATACATCCCATTCTTCATGCACAAACTGAGAAAGTGGAACACAGAAGCAATAGTAGAAAATAAAGTCGTTTTCCTGCAGGCTTTATAAAAAGAGAAGTGATGTTACAGATTGGTCCAAGTCAGGAATTCTATGCAAAGTCCTAAATGCAAAAAGGATAACAAGCTAACACAGATGCATTTGTTTTTCTGAGGAATAATTTTCACTGCAACATATATGAGCTATTCTCAAACTTTAGAGACATTCCTGCTTTTTTCTTCTCTTTCCTTCCTTCTGCATTGGCTCTTATGGTACTTTTAACCTCCTGACTTACAAAAAGAAGTAAGATATATACAAGCACACTTTAATTGTACTTACGATGTAAGAAGCAATCGTATTTAAAACAGCGTCTACAGAACAGTGTGTGAAAAGAGTGCAGGCTTTGCTCCCTCTGAACAGATTTAGCATTTGGTCCATCTATGTTCGGTGTGCACTCAGGAGGAAGAGCTCCAGGAAGCTGCTGCTCAGTCAGTTCTTTGTATCTTTAAAAGAAAAGAAGTTATTTATTAAGTATATTTTTTTTATAAAAGTGGTTTTTATTCCAGTACCACTCTGCACTTTCAATGACAACTTAAAAAAACCCCTATGAAATATGTGCCAGCTAAAAAAGGCCAATCTGTTACTACATGACAACTTATTAATACCATACTCATTAATTCAAACTGACTAGGAAATAATGCATTTGTTTTCAAGACCATCATCACCTCATACATAGTATCATTAACTCCAAAAAGGAGGTAAGGGGTTTTTTTAGCAGCAGCTTTTATTTTACCATCTCAAAAAAACCCCAGATTATTAGAGACATACAAGTACCCACTTATCAATAGTTTAAAAAAGAAGGAAAGAGCCAAATCCCTTTCAGTGTCACTTCCAGAAGTTACACAAATGCCACAGAACTAGCTGCAAGGGGAACCATTCCTAATCAACAAATATTTAATTAAGGATTTATTTCATAGTGGAATCTTTGGTCCATAATGCAACACAGCAATATACCCTAAGAAATACGTTCTTACTTCTCTTTCAATTCTTCTGCTGTACCCTTGTCTGGAAACATTGAGGAAATGGCTTCAAATATCTTATCAGAAGGAAATCTCCGAGGTGGGTGGGTTTCTTTCTCTGTCAAGGAAGCAAAAAATTTGGAAAACAAAAAAAATATATTACTGCTCCTTTGCGACCTCAAGGTGTTCAGAGAAAGGGGGAGTTTGCCAAAATTCTAATGTAAAAAAGGTTTTTATTTCTAAATCGCTTACAATTTTAACTGTGTTAACTGAACTTTCTTGATGAGAAAAATCTACTAGTAAAATAGAGAGAAACCATTATTTCACCAGCAGATGGAGATGGAAATTCAGAATTCTTCCTGCTTTAGAATAATGATACATCATTATCTGAGGAGTCCCAAAGCATTTATTAGATTGATACCTGACTGATTTTTGGTGCATTTGACTGCCTCAGTATGCCAGTGAACAAAAATTGGAAAAGTGCCTTTCATGGTGTTCTCAATACAAATCTTGAGCTAAATGATGAAGGAAATTATGAAAATTATGCTACTTTAGACCTGGAAACTATCACATAGGAAGATGGGTTAGAACAAATTTAGTGAGTGCTTAAACAAAATGGTTTGGGTTTAATTTTTAAGGTCTGCAGATAGACATACCCATTCTGTTACCTTCCCGATCTTTTTGCTTGTCATCTCTTTCATCAGGATTGTCATCTCCATCATCATCATCTTCATCATCACTATATTGACCAAGGGCATTGACCAACTCAACAAATATTTCATCATTGATAAATCCACATTCTGAAATCCAGCAAAATTTGGAGTGAACAAAAAAAGCACAAGGTGTATATGAAGTATTTTTAATCCTTCCTACACTTAAATTAAATTAGTGCAAATGCTGTCATTTATAAAAAGCAATTTTGTAGTTTTCCCCTCTTAAATTGCAATGTATGAATCAACACAAGTCAAAAATGCTCATTTTTCATTTCTTAGACTGACAACTGGGAAGGGAAGACTAAAAATTCCAGCAATTTTTTTCCAACTCCCTGTGCTACATATGTATATAAATCTCTCTTCCTTGTAAGATAAAAAATACTACCAACTACATTATTTAAGAGATTTTATGCCAGAATCCCAGTTCCAACATGGTTGGGAGTCTGAAGCCAGTCTGGAAATGCATGCTAACAGTCTATAAACTAATCGTTAGGCAGTGAAGGAATCTCCAGAGAAATTTCTGTTTGGTAGTTCATTAGCATCTACTTCCCACAATAGATCCCACTGGCTGGGTGATAAAAAAAGGATACAGTCATATACAAAAAATTCAGGAGAAAACTGAAAGATACAATGCTGCATATATCTATTTATTAGATTATATTCTGCTGTGACATTCAGATGACAGAACAGATTAAACAATAAGGCATTTCTGCTCAAAGGAAAAAAATCATAGTTAGTGCTGACAGAGACTATTTTCAAAAAAACCAAAATAAACATGAACTGTGTGAGAAGTGTAGTGCTTATTACCATCCCTTTGAACCTGGACTGGGTTTGGATGTCAAAATAACTTGACAGAAAATAATAGTTTTATTACTCTGTAGACAATGGAAATACCACTTGGATGTTTTAAACTGACTCTTAATATATTCACACAGGTTAGTACAAATTGTCTCCCAAAAGTGCAATTACAGAGCTAGTTTAGAATTCTGACTCTTACATGGGAATGCCTTTGGATTACAGATTCCCACAGTATTTACATTTAATTACAGTCACACAACACCAGTTATTGGGAGACTAGAAAAAGTCTTTCTACTTCTAATATGTTTTATATATTATGGAGAATCCATAGTAATAGTAATTGTCATCATAAACTTGCACCTCAAGGTGCTCAAAGAGGATTAATTTTAAATCTAAACTCCTTTAATAATAAATTAAATCAACAATAGAAGACATTTAGTAGCAATGTCATCATTTTGACATAACCAGTTTTCTGACAGAGAAATCAGAAATCAGTAAATGTGTAAAAATATTCAAAGGCCAAAGCCCAAGAAACATTCCATGTTTCTTATGAAATACACAGGCACCACCTATAATGAGGACATTAACAAGTCTAGTGTATGGCTGAGTAGCATTTATTATTGAATCACAGACTTAAACTTCATGAATGGTACATGAACTCAAAAAATTTGGTTCTCTTTCTAAGACACTTCAGCATTAACAGGAATATGATTAATTTTAAGAAGCTATTCTCTGAGTGAAGGGGTGGAGTGTGGGGGTAATATTTCTGTGAAGGAAAGAGAAACCTCTACAACTGAGGGTTGTATAAGCCAGTTCTGAGGGAGCACAGAGCAAGTCATAGGTCACCACTTCACTGAGACTTTAGCAAAGTGAGAGACAGATTACACTGCAGGTAGTCCAGCTCCCACACAGGAGAACAGGTAAACTACATCTCAGAATAAATATATATAATACTTCTGTACTAACAGAAGGATACAACTTCTCTCTATAAGCTGACTTGCAGAGAGGAGGTTTTTAAATGGCTAGCAAGCTCCTAAAAGAAAGGAAGGGGAAAAAAAAACCCACAAACCTACAAGAGCTTATTCTGTTGAATCACATGTGCAAATGTTATTATTAGCAGAGTTCTGCATAATCCTCCTGCCATTTTCAGCTAGGCAAGACATATACACACATTACAATATATTCCAAAGCTCTGAGCACAAAACTGAATACCAAGAATCACTGTATGGTATAATAAAAAAAGTTAATGTGCTTAATTTCTCCACACTACTGTTTAAAACTTTGCAACCTAATGAAAATGCAGAACAATACATTTAAATAAGGAATCCTCACTGTATCCTTAAGAATACAGTGTTTACACACTGTAGAGATAACTACTGTAACAATCACACATCAGGCCTTAAGCAACACTACAACAATAATTTATATAGGAAGAAATGATTAGTATACCTGAGTGTTTGGGCTCACCTCTGTCTCCATGCACTTTCCCATCATAGTTCTTGATCAGTTCTTCAATAAAGGTACCATCCTGGTCAAGCACTTCATCTCCCATATAAGGAATGTTATGTAAAACAGTTTCATCCTCTACCTAGGAACAAAAGTGATAATCAAACAATTTTAAATTGTGTTGTCAAGCAACCATTTCTGCACTGCTTTTCACTATCTACAGGAGTCTGCCTATAACAGTAAATTAACTAGTAAATAAACTAACTTAAATTCACTGCTTTAGAACATTTACCATTAACTAGAAAACAAAAACAAAACCCTCAATGATTTTCAACAATTTTTTGCATTCCTGGTGGCTGGCTCAAAGTACTAACAGTAGCTCCTAATCTTAAGGTTAGCAAAGCATTTCCACTAAGTTTCTAATATGGAAACTCATTACGTTACCTGGCTTTGGGAAGCTTGCTTTTGGTAAATTCATTTATCCCCTCCTTGGTTCTCTCTTACAGTGATGTAGGAAACCACCATGAGAACCATACTTTCATTGTTTGTCCAGAGATAAGAAAATATGCTACCAAAAGACTCTAAATTAAAGTTGTCTAAAGAGAAAACAGAGAAATATGCCTAACAATTTAATCTCAGCTCCACTGCCCCTTTTTTTTGACTGCATATAGACTAAACGCATCTATACTCCTGTGTTTTATCAACAGAATTTATGGACCTTGATACACAGCTGCATCTTCCAATACTACAGAAGAAATCTCTATTGTTAAGAAAATAAACTTTCCCACTGATTATGATTCTGTAGCAATCCAAAATATCCAGACACTCTTGAATTAAAAGCAAGGAGAAAAACATGTGGAAATACTCTGTATGTATACTGATAAAAAATGGTTGTTTAAACCACTTCATAATAATTATTATCAAAATAACTACTCAGCAAAGGTGGTCATACACAAAAAGATGTGACAGACATTTGCAATAAGCTAAGCTTTGAAAAAGTCAAATACCTATATCAGAAATCTAATGTTATGGCTTCTGCACACAGTGAAGTTAATCTGAAAAAAAAGGTTATACTCAGATATGAGAATGACCATTATGGGGATACTATTTCAGGATTTAGTTCCCTTTATTCCACAATTACTATTCTGTTACAGATATGTTGGTTAATTGCCTCACATTAAAGCAGTCATATCCCAGAAAACATTTCTCACTACACTAATTAGATACTTTCAAATAAAACTACATTTGCTAACGACCACAAAAGACAATAGGTTACCTGAATTAAATAAACTTTACAGCAAGATTTTGGAGATACTTAAATACACAGAGGACGGAGATTCAGTTTGCAAAGTTACCTTTTTATTTATTTTATTTTGAGGGAGCTTATTTTTGATTATTACTGCCCTATTACCAATACCTAAAGTAGGGAGGGTAACTGGCAATAGATGTTGTAGGCATACTTCTCAAATTAACACTTCTCTTTTCTCCATACCTTTCTCCTCCCTGCACTTGTTTAATCTTACCATAAAATTCTGTTGAAGGGGAGACCAAGAATACATTATAGGCACAGAAGCAACAGCATTGAGAGTCTTCAGTGGGATGACTTGTTTTGGAAAATCAATGTCACTGGTAACAGAGCACTGAAATAAGAAGTTGAAGTTACACTTACATAGCAACATCAGGAAAAACCAAACAAAAATAAATCACAGAACACTCTACAATGTACAAAATTCAAAGTTTCTCAAAATTAGCCATATCAACCTTTGAAAAATGCATCAGTTTTTTTAGGCATAATAGCAAAAATAGTTTCAGCAAGAAAAAAGGACCTTTAGAATTATTTTTATGTCATTACCTCTGCTAATAGATCATGATGAGGTTTTTCCACTTAATAATAAGTGTCTGAGCTAGTATTTTACTCAGACTGTTAAACCTAGAATACAAATTAGGTTTAGTATCTCAAAACAGATTTGGTACCTGTTGCTGCTGCTACACTGATGTTAGTGTATTTACTCAGACCATCTGAGAGGCAAGTGAATTCCCCTAGCTTCAGATCAATACACTGCAGAAATCATGTATTATTTATGTTATAAAAATACATAAAATTTTACTTTCATGCCAGCAAGACACCTTATATAAATAAAAACTCCATATGGCTTTTTAATTCCTGCCTTGTTACCGAATCATTGTCTGTTTATCCTATCCTCAAGCCTTTTATTACGTTCACTGCTTGCAAAGGGAAAAATGAAAGTTAACTCTTATGTAACTCTGGATACATCAATGAATTTTTCAGCTACAGGACTTCCATTTTGGATATTCAGAGATTTATGTAGCCTCCAAAGGATAAACAATCCATAGAAATACAGACAACAATTAGGTTATTCTCACATCTAATAATCAACAGTTAACAAACACAGATCAACTTTTCTCAAATACTTGGACTGTAGGTATGGAGAACTCTGAGAAAAAAGTTACAAGCTAAAGCAGACAGGAACATACAAAGTTAGGGGAAGTATAACAGAGAAGATTTGGAGGTAGGCAAAACAAAGTTTAGAACAGCTGTCATAGCTACCTGAAAGGAAAAAAGGAAGTGGAGACAAAAGATCTTTCTCCTTTCCAGAAGGGAAAGATGAACAGAGCTTCACATTTCTAAAGAAATACACAAAGTAATGTAACAAACAATATACAGAGACAGTACCCCGGCAGAATGACACAAGCCAGATTTCTTTTCTTTTTAATCTGCAGCAAATTGAATTAGATTTCTGCTGTGTATATTAATATTCTAGACACCATCCTATGGTACCACTTCACTCCCATTTCAGGTTAATGTTTAATTTTCTAGCTAGCAGCCACCTAGCATATTTTTCATGTATTTTTAAAGCAAAATACAAAAGTAAAAGAATCAATTACTTTTATCTTTGGAGCTAGAAGTCTTGGGCTGACAAATGGGTAAGTCAAAGCGACTCAGTGTTTGGTACTAAGCCTCAGTTATGCTGCTCTGTTGTTCTGATATGGAACTCAGGTTAATGTCTGGTAGGCCTACACTGAGCATCTTATGGTCTCCACTTGACGCTGTCACCAGCAATGCCCTGCACTCTTCATCAAACACAGGAAGACTCTCACACAACCCTTCTATTTCTAGCCAGTGTCTTATGCAACTCTGAAAAAATTCAGCATATTGAGAAAAGAAGATTTTAAAGTAATCTTTTTAAGTCCCCGCCATTTTTTCATCTCGCTTCTCTCACTATAAATTATAGAAACCTTAAATCAAACATTAGAGTTCTCATTCATGAGACAGAGACTGTACTGAATGTAGTAATTAGTGTGCTCCACCAATACAGGCAAGAAATTAACATAAAGAATAGTGAACACCACACTTGAAAGAGAAGAAAAAAGAAAGAGGAACAATCTTCTACTAACAAAAAAAATGTGAAAATTGGATGTGTACCTGTGTCAATTATTATCAGTTCTGAGCCCACACAATAGCTATAGAGCTGTACATGAGTAATTGCATATTCAAGAATATTTAAAAGAGAGCACCCAAAGGTCCTCACCTCCTTGCATTTGAACATGCATGCACACAAATGCACCTCTGTGACACACTCCCACTCCCCAGTTCTCCACTAAAATTTTAGGAAAAGAAACTCTGCAAATTTCTTTGCAGATAAAGTAATTTGGTTTGCTTTTTTTAACCTATTCATGGTAAATTCTTTTTATTCTCACCCTACTGAAAATGGTTCATGTTTCAAATTATTACAGATAAAACATCTTCAAACTTGTTAAACATGAAGAAATGCTTAAAGAGCAACTTCAATGATGAATACAGAAAGCTGGAATAGGCTTAAATCACTGTTGAAGCTGCCATGACACAGGACACAATCCTGAGTAACATGCTCTAGGACGACCCTGCTTGAGCAGGAAAACTGCACTAGATGACATCCAGTCGTCCCTTCCACCCCTCCCAATTCTATGGAAATAAGTTCAGGTGCCCAAATTATGCCACAACTATGGAAGTGTTTTTCAAAATTTAGCATCCAGTCTGCTTGTGCAACACAAAGATTTATAAATCTAACTCCAACAGAAGCAAGAGTACCATGTAGACAGTACCATGGAGACAGAACAGTTTGATTAAAGGATGCTGAGGTATGATCCAATCATTATCAGAAATTAAGAAGTTTCACTTTTGTGTGTCATTCAAAGCCAGCTAGCCTGTTACATATTCATTACTTTGCAGAAGTCATATGAACAAAGTACACAAAAAATGAATTTTTAAGACACTTATACAAAACACATTGAGCTGCCAAGTCATATCATGCTGAAAAAAAGAATATAAAGAACAGCCAACTTTCCAGTAATAAAACAAAAACGTGCTAACAACCTTGTAAGTGGAATTACCACAACACATGTTAACCAACCTCCCTGGTCCCGCGCAATGAGCTCACAGAAGTCATGATGTGAACAGGCTGTATCCTACGTTGTTTCCATTCTTGATTTAAGATTTCAGTTCTTTCCAGTATCTTCTGACGATTAGAATTAAACATACTCTAAAAATTAAACACAACATTGTAAATAAATTAAAGACTAAATTCATCTGTTAGCATCTTAAGGCATTCTAACATTTAACCAGACATGTTATAACAAAAAAAAACCACCAAACAAAAAACATACAAATTTAGCTTAAACATCAGTGAGGTTCAGTATAGTTCATTATCCCTTTCTTTAATTCATACCATGTTCTCTCATTTAGAGAGTCACACATTTAGCACAGAAACAAATTCTGAATGAAATTTGGAAGAATATGCAGCTAAAATTACCATATTAGGTCTCCACAACCTCTTCTGATACTTAACATTCTCAACCCAATCACATATAAATGTATCATACCTGTTTATAAGACCATAGAGTTAAAACAAGTTCTCATGAGGTTGACAAAGTATTCAAAGAAATTGCTACAGCAAGTGTTAACTGTAAGACACATACTTCAGAAAATAATCAATACTTGTAAAATTTTATAAGCAATAGAACTAAAAGATTAAGTACCTTTACTTCATCAGCACGTCGGAACCTCTTGAGCTGCCTCAGTCTCATATATTCTGATTTTACACGTTTTCGCCAACAAATTGGTCCCTTCTCAGATTTTTTTCCGGTTTGACCCATGATTATCCTACAAGAGACAATGTCAAGTTTGTATTACCAAATCTGACACCACTGCTTACAGAAGTTAGATAGGAAAATAAAATTCCTTTAATATCTTTTATATTTAATTCCTTTAATTCTTTTCAATCATACATTTGCAATAGCATACCAATTCAACAGAAAAAAAGAGGAAAGCACATTTAAGTAATAGGCACAAGAAAATAGTAATTTTAAATGCAAATCAGTGGACCCTTCACATTTGCACTTCTAATGCCTCTATTAAGAAAGTTACCAGATGGATTTAAATGGGTGAAGAGGAACAAATCAAGATTCCCACTACAAAGATACACATTGGAATCCTTTCAAGTAGCCTTGTAAATTAACTTCTGAAGAACTACGTTCACTTTCCCTCTTTGCAGGAAGCGTCCTCTTCACTAAGACACTAATTCCTACAACATGCTTCTGGAGTTGATCTCAAGTAGAAGGAGGTACCCCAAGGAGTATTCAGTCTTCCCACCCAGCCACTCAAGCATGAAAAAATTGTAGAAATTCAGACGATGAGTTTTGCAACAGCCAGAATAAGATATTTTGCTCTTTTCTCAAGTTTTCTACAAGACCACAAACTGCCCACTGATTCCACTTTACTGATCATCCTCCTAGTGCCAAGTGGTTCATTTTCACGTTACAGGACTGTTGGAAATGAAGTTGTATTTTTATGTTATAATCCAAATGCCTTGCTAGAATATGCCAATCTGCTCCGTATTTTTCAAAATCAAGGACCGTATGCTACAGCTATGCTGGCAATGACTATTTTGACAGCATCCTGAAACTAAACCACTACATCAAAGACTGGCTTCTTCTCAAGAGCTGCATTGTAAAACCTACAATATTTCACTGAACAGCTCAAAATATCATTCACATGGACTGAAAGGCTGAAACATCCATTAGCCCAGGGTTAATACATTCTCAAACAAGCATAATCAGTTTGAGCAGAAATAATTCCAGCCCTTCTAGTCATCAAGGCAGGTCAACATGACTAGAGGTGTCATCTTTGGGCTTGAATCCAATGCCCACTGCTACCTTCACTGCCCCACACTACAGCTCCCCTAACAGTCATAAGTACAGCTTTATCCCAGTTAGTGGAAGCTTACTGCTCTACTTTCAGCAATTCTGTAGAGGTCAGATTTGAGTTCTATCAGACTTTATGATGATGATGAGAGGGAGAAATCGATACAGAACATGTTTATTCTCAAGACTATGCATTAATTTACAGTGAACAAAAAGGCAGTAAGTCTATAAAAGCCTGAACCCATTTTCATTAGAGACTTAATAAGATTTAAGAATATGCAAGAAAAAATGTTGGTGTTTTAGATTTAGGATGAAAAAATAATCTACAAACAAATAGTAGAATTACCAACTCAAATCATGGGAAATATCCTCTGAGGAAAAAAGACAGAGGATACAAATAACTACATAATGCACCTGACTAGACAGAGGGTAAGGACAGAGAATTCACCATGGGGAGAGAAATCTAGAACAAAGCATCAAACCCAGTTACCCTGCTTCCACACAAAACAGCAAGTAAAATCCACCTGTATCTCATTCACCACAACCCTAGTGATTACAAAAGATAAAAAATAAAATTATACTTAAAAAAATTATCCTGGACCATTCATGTTAGAACACATCAGTGTCATTGACAAGACTTGCCATTGTCTAACAAGACAATCAGTGATTCAAAGTGCACTATGATATTGATTAAAGAGCAGCATAAAAGCATTATGAAGTACAGAAAATACACTGTATCATATGCTAAACTAAGCAAAGTAACAATATTGAAAAACAACCCCTTAACTGGAAATAAATTAGACATAGAATAAGTACCATTAAATAACAGACAATCTCAATTTTTAAGCAGTATAGAACATCAAAATTGCTTCAGTTATGATTCAGCCAAAAGACCCAGGAAAAGCATCAATGAACTCAAAAGATAAATGAAAGCTCAGCTGAAGCCCTGCTCATCAGAAGCAGATCTATACAGAAATCACATACAATTGAATTAAAAACAATGACAGACAAACTCAACAGAATTTTCATCTTTCTTTCATACAACTTAAGTATAGCCCCAAGAATACCCCACAAAAGGATTTAAGACATGAGAGAAATATATCCCCATTAAAAAAAATAGGCAACAAAATCCAGTCCACTCAATTTTACAGTAATAAACATTACTGTTACCTGTTGTATAAAAATGGTAACAAAATAATACTTCATGAGAAGAGTAGTACTTCCTTTTAAAACAGCATCACTTACAGTCGGGTTATTCATCTGAAAACAAACATGACTTACAAGAACACTCTCTTCTTGCACTAGTTTCAAGTTGCTATCTGGGGTGCAGCACAGACAACTTAATGGCCAAGGCACCAAATAATATAATAGAAAATGAAAAAAAAACCACACTGTTGCTTATGTCAAGTTACAGCAAGAGAAAGTTGTCCTACATAAAGCCATAATGTTAATGTGCAACAGTCGGTGGGATATACAAACAGATAAAGTCCAATATGTATAAACAAATTAGAAACTACATCTTAAATAGCAAATCCATATTAAGAAAAAAATCACTTAGTGGAAAGGAACCATATGCACCAAGTATACAAAAATTATATCTAAGAAAAAAGAAGTGTCCTGGATGCATGTTAGTAAAAAATTTTCAGAGATTGTCAAAATTAATATATTACTGGTCTCTGAGCAGCAGAGCCAAGTGAACTGTGTTTATATGTTTTTGGGCAGTCTAATGCAACTCAAGTAGAATTACTGTGTTGCTAACATATGTACAGTGGTAGGAGACAATTGGTTTTATGTCCCAAACCTCAGAAGAAAGTACAGAATAAAAATTAACCACGGAGGGGGGCAGGGCAGGAAAAGCATATTCAGAGAGCTAATTTTCATACTGCAATTGATCTATCATCTTCACATTAGGACTACAGACAAATGCCACTGATGATTTCTCATGTCAGTTTAAAGGTTGTCCCGAAAACTTTAAATATAAGAAGCTAGACCTGAGAAACTGGGATTAGAAGTTCCACAGGCAAGGACAGCCAGTCCTTTTTTGTGGAGCAAAAAAACAACTATGAAAGTAGGGTGCTTTACACTGCTTCTCACCCATGAAAGCAAAAATAATTTAGAGAATTAAAAGACTTCAGGAAAGCATCAACATAATCTCTGGGACAAGTTCAGAGTTGTAGATGCTGTCTCAAGCCTTCTAGCGGTCCACTTGCCTACCACCTATGTGTAATACAAACCTCTCCCAAATCACTTTCTTGTGCACGTCAACAGTAGAATTGGTCAAAGTGCTCTGAACTGTAACAAACTACACAGTCCCTACTTTGGTAGATAGGACAAAAAAAACTGCACATTTCCTTTAAACTACATTGTTTGGGAGTCACAGGTAGGACTGCAGAACACAGAAGCTAGTGAATGTTAAGATAAATTTGTCAGAACTAGTCAACTTTGCATATAAAATTT